GGGGATGGGCAAATTTTTATCAGAAAAATTGGGGGATGAACAATTTTTGGAAGAAGCTACAAGCCTTGCTTATGGGGGGGATCGTATTTTTTTGCATGATTTAAAGGGGGGTGGGGGGTGTTAAGAATTATTCTGGACATTTCAAATTTTCACCTGCACTCCCCCCCACCTCTACATACATTATGACGCAGCCTTAGTTCACAAAATACGGCTTCTGCAGACAACACGACCTAAATTGTTGGTCTTGATAATTTGAGATAGCATGCTTAACGTCATACAATAATTGTTTATTATTGAAGGAGTTTCCATATCCCCATAATACATTGCGGTTTGGGGGTAACATGGGGGTAACATGGGGGTAAGATACCGTACATATTGTGCTGAAGACTGATGAGAAGATTACGTAAATGCATCTTAGGATATTTAAAGATGTATTATAAACAACCAGAAACAAAAAGCACTTTCTTGAAAGGTAGGCTTTTTTAAACACCTTGGACAATTATTCACATGTCTCTATCTGATTGCAAGCTCACCGTTCGTCTCGCTTCGATGCAAAGGCAAGGCAACCTTTCAAGATGGCGCAGGGAACTGTGAAGGGGACTATTGTGAAGAAGTCTTTAAAGAAAACTTTGAGTATTTCTTCATGAGATCATTATCTGTAACATTAAACGTCTTGATGAAATTAACTCAGAAAGAACTGATAATCAGTATTTTGCAGATATTTTTTTTTACATTCGATTAAAGAAAGTTTAATTTGATAACAGTATTTAAGACAAAGAAGATGGACGCTTACTGCAATTTTCATAAACATGCGAACTATGTCTCCAAGTTGCACGCTGAATTCGATTTTTCGCTGCCGTTAATCAAACCTAATCAGTCGGTAACATTTTYGAGGATAGTCAATCCAAAACATTTGTCTTTTAAATTGGTCGCCGTATACCAACTTGATGTAAACGAAAAGTAAATACAATATAAAATGAAAGAAAACTTATTCTCAAAACGAAAAACAGGTAATTGTAACATCCATTTACTACTAAGGCAATACRCTATACTAATGTGAACGCAAGACACGTTAATAGTTCTAACGTATTCACAATACTAAAGCAAGGAAAGCATTTGATCCTTCTCCGCATATCTCAGTATCGTATAAACTTGTGTTTCGATTGCTTTGTCTAAATTTTGCGGCACCAAGTATCATTAGTGCTTGACATCCTATCAAGGTAACCATGGTAACAAGTCAATTTTGATATTGCTGTCCTGAGTAACCTAGCCCAATTCCACTTTTCCCGCCAGCACCTCGTGAAAGTTGAAAGGCACGTGACCTTTCGAACTCCGCCTCGAGGTTTTGTAAGAGATCAGCTCCTTGAATTGGGCCCTCAGAGCTGGTAGACTCAGAGCTGTCGCCTTTGATGCCCATCAATCGACGGAATTTGGCTTCCATTTGGCCACCTTGATCGTTAGAAAAGTGCATCCCTGGTCCCCACTTGTTGGAAGGCCCCTGAAAATAAACCATATCATGTTATCTTAGAGTTCGCTTGAATAAAGAATAAACAATAGACCATTTTCAAATTTCAAATTACCCGCTGTATTTCTTGATTAAAGACTCAATTACTCAGGGTTAGCCTCGTATGAGTGACTAAATATTCACAAATACCAACAGTAAAGTAAAGAATACACAACTTCAAACAATACAAACACTTTGAAATTCCACGGACGTTCACTGGAACAAAATTATTTTGCACAAAGTCGAGGCTAGCCCTGAGCAACAGACAACTCGAAGCTAGAGTATTATTAACACAAATGAACAATAAAAAGAAACTTGGGGAACTCAGATGCATAGTGGAAAACCTGTGCTGACGTTGTGTGAATATTTACAAAAACATTGAATTGCTTCTACCAAATGCGTGCTCTATTGCTGGTTACATTGGAGGTTAGCAGAGAATGAGTCGAGGTTTACTCCTGTAATGTTGCGCACAGCAAGTTTTCGTCGTGCGAATATGCATGTCCTGCAATAATTATACTGGCAATGGCTTAGTGTTCTCAACCAATAAAAACGTATTCATCTTGACTGCTGGTCATAATTATGTAGCTTTCTTTAAAAGTCCCCTTCACAGTTCCCTGCGCCATCTTGATAGGTAGCCGTGCCTTTGCATCGAAGCGAGACGAACGGTGAGCTAGCTTGCAATGATAGAGAGATGTCCAAAAATTGTCTAAAGCGTTAAAAAGGTCTCTATCATTGCAAGTTCAACGATCGTCTCGTTTCGATGAAAGGCACAGCCACATTTCAAGATGGCGAAGGGAAGTAAAAAAATGTATTAAAAAAAGAATTTTCATTATATCATTCTCGAGTTATTTTTGTTGCAGGAAGATTTGGGTGTCATCCCTTGAAACCTCTGTCCCCAGCAACGCTGCAAGCAAAAGTCGCCCCTTTAGATCTTACCTCATTCTTTTTGCTGCTCCAGAGGAGTTTCTTCTTCTGCTCTTGCATGGCATATTGCTGTGGGTTTACCACTGACGGGTTAAGATATTCTGGCATATTGATAGCCTGTGCTGCTACCTGTGCTTTTTTCTTCATTGCCTCAGCGTGTTGTGCTAGTTTAGCCTGCACCTCTTCTGATGTCGGCTGTCTAGTTGGACCTATGGGCACTTGAAAAACAAATATATAACGGCTGTCAGCGATACTAGAGAAAAATAATGGCATGTGTGTGTGCATTTCATCATATTATCCAAGACTATAAGTCTTTAGCTAAGGCGTTACGTATTCCCATTTCAGGCGTCATTCTCTTAAGAATAAGGCCTAAGATTCTGTGCTTGAGTTGTATCTATATTCCTGTGTCTTCTCATGCTCAACCGTTAAACAAAAAAATAATACTCTAGAGAATGACACATGGTTTGAAATGGGAAAAAACATTACGCCCAAGCTAAAGAGATATATTCAAGATCGCTTTAGTATACAAAGAAGCACTCGTTTTGTTCGACTGTACAACAAAATTATGCACTGAAATTTGTGGTACCAATATACCTTATCAATAAATATACAGAATGACAGAATCTGTTAAAAAACGATAACCTAAAGAATGTCCAGGTAAGGCTCGCCCAGTCTATTTTAACACCTATATTTGCAAACTGAACTGCAGTATTTGTCATGTTACTGGGCTACCAGAAACAATGACAGACCCCAGTTAGCCTAAACGGCCGATTATCTCATGTTCGTGATTTAATTCATTTGCCTATTGCGATCCAGAATGTATACACGTAGAAAGCCTTTGACTACACGAACTCACTTGGCATGCGGATAAACGTACCTTTTACGACTGGTGTTTTGATTCTGGAAGGAATTCGATCTTCAAGAGAATATCTCCTATCCCTCTCATCTTGACCTCTGGAGTCTCGTCTGCCACGATCATTGCGTGATCTGTAACGTTCACGGTCACGACCCCTGTAACGCTCTCTGTCACGATCTCTGTCACGATCTCTGTCACGATCTCTTTCACGATCTCTGTCACGATCTCTGTCACGATCCCTGTCACGACCTCTATCGCGATCTCTGTCACGGCCTCTATCACGATCTCTGTCACGTCCTCTATCGCGATCTCTGTCACGGTCTCGATCACGGTCGCGGTCTCTGTCACGATCCTTTTCAAGATCTTTGTCACGATCCTTATCACGGTCTCTTTCACGTTTCCTGTCACGATTTCTGTCTCGATCACGGTTGCTGTCTAGTTCACGATCTCGACCAAACTCGTCCCTGTAAGTTCCAACTGGAAATGGAAACAAAATCATTATCACGATCACAAAGTATCACAATCAAGCAATATCACGATCAAACAGTACATGTATCACAATAACGCAGTATCACGATCAAGCAATATCACGATCACACAGTATCACAATAACGCAGTATCACGATCACGCAGTATCACGATCACGCAGTATCGCAATAACGCAGTATCACGATCACACAGTAGTACAATTACGCAATATCACGATCTCGCAGTATCACAAATATGCAGTCACGCGATCACGTAGTTTCATATAGCAAAATGGTAGAAATGAGGGGGGTTATCTTGCAGGGGAAAATGGGGAAGAATACCTCGGCTTCGTACCCTACCCTCCTTAAAAAATGACCGGTCACTAATTACAAGAATGAATGGTAGACATACTTTTTTCTCGTTCTCTTTCTCTAGATGGTGTTCTAGAGCGGGATTTCACGGGACTCCTCGAGTGAGATCTAACGGGACTCCTAGAGCGGGACCTCACGGGACTCCTAGAGCGGGATCTCACGGAACTCCTAGTACGAGATTTAACGGGACTCCTCGAGTGAGATCTGACGGGACTCCTAGAGCGGGACCTCACGGGACTCCTAGAACGGGACCTCACAGGACTCTTATTGCGAGTTTTCACGGGACTGCTAGAGCGGGATCTGACGGGACTCCTAGAGTGGGATTTTGCGGGACTTTTAGAGCGGGATTTCAGTAAACTTCTGAAGTATGTTGGCGTATCCTTCCTGGATCTATCAGCTGATGCTGAATCGGTTGTCCCTGGAGTATCTTTTACTGGAGAGCTTGGAAATGTTGGCGAGTATCTCTCGGGGGATTTCTCAACTGTTCTTGAATCAGGCGAGTATCTTCCTGATGAACTACGCCTTCCGCTTGGACTAAACCTTCCATCTTCTCCCTAAAAAACGTATATTTTAAAGATCTTTAAGAAAATCATTAGTATGTGTACTATTGTGTTTAGCTGCGTGCAGCCCGACTTATAGCCCCGAGGTAATAGTGTAGCTGCACGCAGGCCTGTTTGTGTTCAGACAAAGGCTCCCTCCACACTAATGCAATTTCGTTTCAAAACGCATACTATCCTTGAACCACTCCGGTTTTTGGTGAAACGAAAACGGAGCGTTTCGCCGGAAAACGCATTAGCATAGACGTGGCCCAAGTTATTCATTAATATCTTCAATCCTACAATATTCCTACGATATATTAGACAGCGAAGCAACGCATTATCACATGGGCGGATCCAGGGGTGGCTAGCCCTCCTTCTCCTCACCAAAAGTATAGTTTTTAAAGTTGCGTATTAAAAAATGAACCCCACGATTTAATTTAGCTACAATCTTGGACAAAAAAATTTGAGAATTTTTCATCCAATCACGAAATAGGACAATTTCCCTCATAAAAAATGTTTGGTTGATCTTACCCCCTCCCCCTCCAGGACAATGTTGGTCCCAGTAAGTAAAGCAGTCCTGCCTCCCTGGAAACAACGTTTAAGGGGAGGAGGTCATTTTTAGGGATTTTTAAATTTTGGACATCAAAATATCAATTATTAAAAAAAAATCAACATTTTTTCCCCCGAGATTGTAGCCCGCATTTCCTTAGATTCCCTACTGATTCTTGGTATTTCTGCAGCAACACACCCCGGAACCATCCCTTTAAAGTATTCCTTAAATTGTGGAATCAATCAAAAAATAAGAAAAAAACTAAACTAAAAACTGCAGTGTTTATGATGCTTACCTGGGAATGACGGTCTCTTCGCTCTGCATCACGACTGTATTCATGTCCAGAGCTTGTTTGGCGTTGATCAAGTGTTGACTATAGTAATTGGTTATCAACACAGTTATTCAATGTAACTTTTATTCTAACATAAGGAGTTGGGGAAGCGCACGTCTTGGCGCGAAAGTTCCCGCCAAAACCACGAAACCCCGTCGGTACACAAAGGCGGAAAATCCTGGCTACGCCCAAAGCCAGTCAAACATAATCGATGGGATGGAAAATAAAATCAATCGCTAAAGATTCTTAAATTTTTGTTTCTCCCAAACAACACACCACTCAAACACACACATTGCCTGTCACACTTATAATCTATAATACAGATCCCATTTATTTTTTGCATAGATGGGCCCCCTCGCTTCTCTAACACTGGTGAAGACCTCTGGTTTGAACAATATAGGGTCAAGTTTCGACGTATTTCCAGGTCCAATCACACAAAAAAAATCCGAAAATCTTGCCACAACCTATTCCCAGGAATTATTCTCTGCCTTCAAAGTTTAGATATATGGACAGAAAATTCTGCTATGAAGAAAAGCATGGGAAAATGTCTGTGGAAGTAATTATTAATTTGGACCGGAAGTCGTTTTTCGTTCGCATTACGTCACGCTTGATAAGGAACAAGGTGTATGCAGTCTGTAGTTGCTGGCAGGTATTATCATGGTATATCTTAAATACCCAGTAAACATAGTTGAATATTTACTTCTTAATAAATGTATTAATTTGTTTTTTTAATCTGTTGTACCTACAGTGAACTTATTTTCCTTTTATTTTTGTCTCCCCTCACCCGACCCCCTCTGAATCTTGTAGTTGCTGACCTAAGCATGCAGTATGGCATCCTGTTTTTCAGTTTACCACAAAACTATAATCTCCATAAACAGATTATTTCAAAACCCATTGTTCTGAGGTTGTGTTTTAACATTTTAAATCACAACATCAAAGGGGAGTTGTCGTGTCTCGTGACATTTGTTATAGTAATCCAATACCGACAATAATATCATGACTTGAAAGAGCATGTACATTTAAGTAAAGTTAGTAAAAGTGGAGAATTAAAAAAATTTAACTCAAATGGGAGCCAAGTTCGCGATGACCAAAGACTGTCACTTTTATGTAAGAATTATCCATTGAAGGACAAGCTGTTGCCAACCATGATACAAAATCATATGAAATAGGCAAACTTTGGAATTAAATAATTTTCTTCTTATTTACTGAATTTATTTCAAACTTTCAACCTTCACTAACTTTAACATGGTCTTTTGATTCATTGTATTCTTGTCAGTCTTGATTATTATTTTAAATGTCATGTTAATGTGAAAAAAAATCAGCAGATAAAAGTCTCCAAATAGTATTCAAACACTGACCACTATTTGCTGTCAACCAGAAAGAATTCTATTGACGACTTGTCTGCTGAACATTCTTCACAAGACAAAAAACCCAACATTTCTACAATTTGATTTATATATATGCAGTTTTCAGTTACACTTGTTGCAAAGTTATGCAGAGTTCATGCGCATTATGTCCAGTTTCATAACTACAGGTACTTGACCAAATCAGTGCAGTGTCTGGATTACTGGCTTCTGTCAATCAAAAGCCTATTACCAGTAACTCAGCACATTGGAAATTTGATTGGCTGTATTTTTATGAACACATCTTTCATGACATGGATTAAATAATAAATACATGGAATCTTTCTACTTAATATTTCCTAGAGAGAACACAGATACTTAGTAGCTAAGTCTCTAGCCTGCAGCAGTTGGTTGTCAGCAGTAATCCTAATGGCAGGGAGGGATGGGAGAGTAGGGGAAGGAGACAACCCTGCAACAGCAGAAGACTGACAACCAATACAGGTTACTACACATCACTGAAAAATCATCCTTAATGCAGTGCTCAGCATTAAAATAATGATCTAGCAGGTATAATGTATTAACCCATCTCAAAACTATCTTGAATATTTAGCCAACAGAAAGATGGAAAAGAAATACTTTGTATTCCATTCAGAATAGTTATATTTCTTTTGTATTTTCCTATTTAGAGTGCATACCATATATCAGTGAAAAACTTTGTAAGAAATTGCACAAATTGGTAAGTTCAGCAAATTGCATAAAGTTTGCTGAACTGTAACAATGAACTAGTGGTTTTGAACAAGTTGAATCAAGTGATTTCATTAAGCAATTCCCCGTAAAGAGTATAAACCAAACTAAACCAAGATCATGACAACAAACACAAGAAAACAAGTTAAAACAAGTTAAATCGAGTGATTTTTCTTTTATAAAAATATATATAAATATTTCTTATACACAACTTTCCACTAATTTGTACAATTTTGTTAGGTAACATTTTCACAGATATATGATATGCACTTTAGCTTTGCATCCTTGATACATCCTTGATATACACTATATTAGTAATGTTGAACACTTAAAATTGTTAAGCATAGGACCTAGTATTACCTTACTTTACTACCAGTTTAAAAGTCCAATAATTAAGTACTGCTCAAGATCTAGTCACAAATATTTCAACCTATGGCAATATCCAAATGAATAGAATATATAATTTATATCACACTAATCTTACTTTTGAATGAGTTTGTCTTTGGTTTCTTAAAGGCAAAAAAAAATTTCTATTATCCTTTTCTGGAATGGATTGATCAATATTACCAGTACTTTATAATAAAGTAGGTGTGAGAGCTCCAAAACCATGTAAAAACAAGAACCTGACAAGTGAATGATTAGCTATGCTTTGTTGTTACATTTTAAAGATTAAGTGATGAAATGTTGTTATCATAACTGTTGACCATGTATCAGGGTCCTCAAAATTTAAAACACAGCAGTAAAATTTTTGTTTCATTGCATTGCTCTAACGACTAAACAAATGCAATGGAAGCAACCTACAGTTATGTGATAAAAAAGCTATTATGCTTATCCCTTCCTTCCTTCTTTCCACAGCTAACAGCTTTCTGCCTATGAATATTTCAATATTGTCATTACTTCAAGTAACATTGTTTGACACTGAGACCATGTTGGATACATTTACTGTTGAATGTAAGTGTTGACTATCTGTTGTTTCTTGGTGTTCCGTATATTCAAGGGGAGCAGATTTAAGTTCACCTTCAACTTTGCTTTCACTTTTGTCATCATCTTCGCTAGATCCCTCCTGACTTACTGTTCTACTATTTGCTCTTGTTCTGTTGCCTCGGCGAAGGTATTCATCAATAGACACAATACACTTTTTTCTCCAGATATTGTCTTGTTCAAATGAGTCATATTTTGAATAAAGTCTAAAAGTACAGTATTTCACAAAAGCAAGTTTATCAGGATCTAAAGCACTCTTTCCTCTCGTTCCTGAACAGTTTTTATTTAGTAGTTCCTCTTTTGTAAAAAGGAGTTTGACGAGGTTGGTCGCAAAATTACCAATTGAACAGCTTTTACTCTTAATTTTTTGTGCCCACCACAGAAGATCCTTCATACGGTCACTGTCACCTTCATTTAGAAATGGTGCATCATCTTTTGATAGAATTTCTATTTCATTACCTGACGACTCTAACTGAAAATCTGCAGGGAGAGTGATTTCTTGAAAAAGTTTAGTTTGTTGTGCTTGGGGGTTCGGTAAAATTTCTTCATTTTGTGAATTATTTTTTAAAACAGCATCTTGTGATTTAGCCAAAGGCTGGCTCGGCAAAATACTATTGATACATGTAAAGGGAATATTTTCAGCAGGCAATGTAGGGACCTTAAATTCGGCAAAAGAAACCTCACTTTCTGTACCAGTCTGCTTGGGAACTACCTGTGCTGTGGTACTGATGTTATTAATATTCAAGACTTGCGCAGCAGAAGCAGTTAACACACGAACAGTCTGTTGTTTACTGTTTTCTGAGATATTGCTTTTCTGATTGGGATCCAACAATGATAGTAGCCTGTCTTGGTTTTTAAGCACCTTTTCCTGATTTGATAGAAGTTCGTCAACTTTTCCAAGAAGTGTCGTTAGTTGTGCCTTCAAGCCAGCATCAACCTCGGAGCTTTCAAAGAACTTAAAGAAAAATTATTTAGGTCAGACTGAACATAATTAACTATCCTTTGGACTTATTTGACTATTAATTTCCTCTTACAAGTATATCTAAATTTCTTTTAAAAAATCAATCAGACATCTAAACACTTTAACATTAAGAATTCCATAACATATATAACTCAAATGTTCTATTTTGGCAGTTATATCCTTATATGAACTGCAGGTAAACAGTTAAGAATAATAGTCAAAGGACTATAATATTATTTTGTATAATGCTGGTTAATGTTCAACACTGTTATTTAAGCTTTGAGTCTTTAAAGTATTTATTTTTCTGGCCAAATTAACCTAAATACCTGCAGTAATGCATATGATAAACATATCCAGTGGGGAAGAAACAAACAACTACATTGATTACTGAGTACTGTATGTAAGAACACCTGCCAGCAACGTACAAGAGCGCATTGAGATTCGAAGTGTTCAATAAAAAAGGAGAATAATAATTAAAACCCATTATTTCAAAAGCTTGAAAAAGAGTTTCAGACGATATCCTTAGACCAAGAAGTGGGAAGTAGAGTATTAAACAACGTCAAGATGTAATGATAAGGAATGAAAATTTTTTTTCAATTTTTTGAAATGGATTCTCAAACTTTTTTTTTTTTTGAGAAAAACAAAGCAAATATCGTGATGAACAATTGCAATAATTATACTGTAATTGCATGATCAAAGCAATGATTTACTTTGTTTTGTCATCATTCAATACAAGTTTGAGTACACAAATGAATAATTTATTAGGATAACATAAAAAAACTGCACCAATACTGTGAAAGATACAGTACCAGGGTAAAAACAGTTTTTATCCATTATCATTTGCAGTTTCACTAACCATAAATACTTTAATTATGATTTGATAACATATTTTTACCATAGTCTTACTTACCCTAGAAATAGTACTGTGTGGACTTCTGTTTCTATAATCGTTTGCATCTGTAAAATAGATACATTTAATCTGTTACCATGAATACATTTACAATCAATTTGTCAGTCAGTGACTTCTCATTACCTTTATTAGATTCATTTCCAGGGTCTGTAGTAAATGTTGCTTGTGATTCAGGACAATGCTGGTCTGTTCTGGCCATTTTAGTAGGGCTTGTTGGTGAGTATGGAGAAGGATATCTCTGTCGTTTTTTTGCTTCTGATGACTGAGTTGTATCCATTGTTTGGGGTGTATACGCCTTATCTAATGCCTATGCAGTAATGATAAAAGATTTCATTAGAACAGAAAAAAATGAGTTTTAAAAAACATGAATATACTAAAACTAGGTAAGAGTAAAACTAATGTACCTAATGATATCATCTACCAGTTTTCATACAATAATTCTCTAGTCAAACACAAAGTATAGTACTCATTAATACAAAATCAAATTCCAATGGGCAGCTCACAACTACCAAGTTGGCGTAATATTGCTGTTAAACTAAGCAGTAACACTATAAAACTATGGATAAACCTTCTATTTCTTGGTTCAACACAAAAGTACTACAACCTTTGAACCAGGAACCAGATATGATAAATACAGCATAATAATACTTGTTCATACAAATATACTTAAATCATTTAAAAATATGTGTGTGTTTTTTTTCAGACATTACCAGACCGTTTTGAACCGCAAAGTTACATCTGTTTTTATTTTGTATGAAGTTTCTAATTTTAGCTGAATTGGGTTCCCTGTGACTTGAATAGCTGCGTTCTAGCTGACAACTGCTAGATCAGAATCACATGTCAGTCTACGAATGCATCAAAAAACCCTTAGCTAGGCTTCTAATAAGCTGAAAATCATTCAAACCCGTTAAAATGCTTTTGTACCACGATAATAATCTCATTACGAACTGGAATTTGAATTTCTTTAGCTCTGTAGCTTTGTCATCCCAAGACGCGTACTCAAAACCCTAGTTTTCAAAGCAAATTACACGTTTTTATAAAATAAAAAGAAGTATAATACATTTATTGACTTTAAACTTTACATTCTATATATTTTTACCTTGTTTGGTTCATTTTTTTGGCCTTTTTCTCCATCTTCAGGCGAGCTTGAAGTATAGCCAGCCAAGCCGTCCATGTTGGATCTTACTATCAAGGTCCCGGATGTAAAGCTGTTGACTATATTTGGTCAACCTTTACCCACAGGGGAGGGGAGGGACAGAAATATGTTACCATCATGAAGCTTACAATAGAAAATATAATATAAAAACGTTCAATCTTTTGGAACAATATCTCAAGTAGTAGTGAAAGTTTAAGATATTTTAGCGAATAAATGCTAGTAATGAATAACCAAAACTAATGAAAACACGTACCGTAGAACATAGGAGATATTTCCAAGTTTTAGTCTTACTTTTTAAATGCATCAAAGGGAATGGCCCTAGATATATTAATGACTTTTTCAAATTTCGTACAGTTAAGTATAATTTAAGAGGCTCTGGTACTAAACTTGAGCAATATTCATTTAACAGTAAATGG